AATTTCAACAACCCCAATCAGTGAATACATTTTTCATAAATTAAGTGCCGCAAAATGTAAAGTGAAGGATATTGGTATTCATCAACTATCGATTTTTCATCTTAAACGTTTCCAGACCCCTCGGAGTTGGTACTTACCTTACTTACATGAAGGCTGCTTTACTCATTGGCTCTTTATACTCATTCACGAAATGAAAAAGCATATTAGCGTTGTGTACTTTTCATACTGTTGAACACTATCGTGCCGCTTGTATTTTATTTTCGGAACCATTTAACCGCTATTGTAGTTAGGATCTTAAGATTTTAAATATACCTATCGTAGACTAGATCTGATCTGACAGAATCTCTATGATTTGTAGTTTCATAGACTATAATTTTGAAATATTCTATAAAAGATCTACGCACGCTGGATTGGTAATAAGTATTATACGGTCCGTACCATCCGTCTGCAACAAACTGAATTTTCTTTTGGGTTTTGTATTAATGGAAGCTAAAGATCATTTATATGTTGCTTACATAAGTGCAGTAGAGAGTGCAATCTCATCACATAACTAACGGATCTTAAAGTATTGATCAACTTGAAAGAAAAGATGAACACTATTCTACTTTTGGGTAAAAAAATAACAAGTAAGAAAGCTCTAATCGAAACTGCTCGACTACGAGATCCCCTGAACTTTTCAACCAACAGATATTTCAATGAAAATTCGCTCACACACACATACCCAGGAACTGCTCTTGAGCTGCGAGTTATACAGTGTGGGCAATATTATAAGAATTTATTTGTTACATAAATTCATTTCTAGACGTACAATCTTAATGAAACTTTTAGAATTTAATCAAAATGTTAAAATGTATGTACATTCCACTCCAAGTCTCTAGTACTTGAAAATCAAATACAACAAAAACTGAAATTATATAAAATACACAGAAGTTTACATTTAAAATTTTGAAGCTCTAGCTCTAAAGGTGTAGGAGGTATAATTAGATAACTAGCTTTCGATAAGGTTTTTAATCGATCATAGATAAACTCGATATGCGCGAGACTAATTTCAAGTCTCTAGCACTTATAATTTCTGAGATCGACGCGTTCATACAGACAATCGGACGGACGGACAGACAGACGGACAGGGCTCAATCGACTCGCTGATAAAAAAATAAATATACATTGTGGGGTCTGCCACGCCTCCTTTTGCCTGTTACATACTTCTACACAACCATTATACCCTGATTTCCCATTTTCAGTGGGTTCAGGGTATATTTAAAAATGTACCAGTCATGGAAAACCGTTTGTGACATGTACTTGGAAGATGTGAAGAACTTAGGTAGGTGCAGACACCTACCCCTAAAAGGTTTTTGGGCTAAGTTGTGCCAATTACTTTTTACCTAAGGTACATATAATTTATTTAGGTGGTAAAGTATGTGCGAGTATGTACCAAAGCCTTGTAGACGTCTGGATAAAGTAAGCAGCAGGACGCCGGCGCCACTTTAATTTACGTTTACTGTATTCTCATTGTTTGGGATTCTAAGAAACGCTACAAATGCATCAGATTTTTAAGATTGGTAGTGAGATTTGTCACACTTATTCAACAAAAACGGCTCCGTAGATGCGCCTGTTTGGACGTAGCCACTTAACAAGTAGTATAACAGTTTTAGTCAATTGCCGTTTGATGCCACAGTACTCTATGCATTTTCATAAAAACGCTTCTTCGATAAGTCCAAGTCAATATACACTGTAAATACTTATATGTAATCAGAAGCGGAATTAGATGCGTTGGTTTCCTAATCCAGCCGACTCTCACAGGTGGGGCTATTAGGGAGCTCCAAGCTATTGTGCGCGTTAATAGCGAAGTGGATTGGTATTAATGATAGTTATGATGGACTGCTATTAAAATCGCTTGTCTTGTGGCTTCGCACTAGAAGATATATTATCTAACTTTAACGGCTTGGTCGGAACTATTACGTTCAACACTGCAAAACTAACTCAATGAATATCAAGAATAAATAAAGTAAATCAAGGCTAAATACAAGTAAATTAAAGGTTCATAGCTGGAACCATGGAAAGGGAAATTTAGCATGCATACTCGTGTATACCATACGCAGTACGACTTTTTTTTCGATAAATCATTCGATAACTTTTTGTATCGAGAATAATCGAAAAATTGATTCTGTTTTTTCAGCCTCATTGAAACACTGTTAGACCTGCAAACGTCAGATTTACTGTGTATATACATATGACGAGTACAACCATTTTGTAATTTACAGATTTTGGATATGACGCCCCGTTCGCCACCAATTTGTATAAAACGCGTTTCAAATACTAGAGACTTGTGCTTTGGAATGTTCATACAATTGAACATTATGATTACGTTCTGAAAGTTTCATTAAGATTGTACGTCTAGAAATTAAATTATTCAACAAATAAATTCTCACATTATTGCCCACACGGCAACGCAGCCCAAGCGCAGTCGCTGCTTCCTCCGCAGTTAGCAGAGCTCGTTTTTATACGTGCATGTGTATCTATGAATATGTGCATAAAATAAGTACAGAATGATTAGAATATCAGATTGGAGGGTTCAGGGTATCTCCTAGTCGAGCAGTCTCGACTAGAGCCTTATTACTTGTTCATTTCCTCATTGCATGGTTCCGGTGTATGGAGTTTTTAGTATATACGTACTATATAATCATTGCTGAGCCCAATAACTATCTTATATGCTACTTTCAAAATTATATCGATGTGATATAAAATAATATCTTCATACATATACATATATACTAAAAACTCCATACACCGGACGGAGAACACCATAAAACCAAGCATATTTTTAATCCGTTTTTTCTGTTGAATTTTCCTTTTCTAATGCATTCGGGCTATAGAATTCCGATTGTGTGTTGTTAGGTTTGGTGGCACAGAGTTCCACACGTGCAAGGGTCAGTTTGGAATTTGATCCAGGTAAAAACACCAAACGCATAAAAATATAAAAGAGGTCCAAATGGAAGAAACCCTTAAATTACCCCAAAACGAAATACGGTACGCTTTTCTCTGAGATAGCACGATAAGCAAAATTGAACTCGCTAGCAAATGATCGCGAAAACGGACAATGCACAAATACAACAAAAGTCTGATCAAGGAGTCTGACTAATGACAGAGGTAGAAAAGTTGTTATCTTTGTGTCTTTACCTTGCCTTAATAATAATGAGTTATACATTATATTCTTTAACAATTGTCATAGTGTTGCCTTTTTTTAAGTGAAGGTTTCTAATTTCGCATTAAAAACCTGTTTGTTAAACTTGAATTATTTAATTCTATGAAATCCAAAATTTAATATATTTAATAATATATATATATATATATATATATATATATATA